TAAAGCTCCAGATCGATCTGGAGCTCTGCTATCAGCTAAAGAAGCTTTCAGGAAAGCCTTGCCAGCTGCAGCAGTAGTAGTTCCTGAAGGTCTCTGACGGCGAAAAGCGACACACGCAAGTGAGGTTAGTCAGTGGATGACATCCCTGAAAGTAAGACCTGGTGCCTTTTTTGGTGACAAAAAAATATAAGACAGGGTCTTATTTTTGGGGAAACATGGTAGTGTGCTTCCAGGTCCAATTCAAGGTGCTCGGCTTTCATGGCATGGAAATGGGCTATCTGAGGAACTGTCTCTGATTATATTGGCTTATCCCATCAAATTTAACAAGGGCGGCATACAGCAGGTCTTGTCTCTCAGGGCATGTCCCAAGAGAGGAGGCTTCTTTGCCCTGCACCCACCTTATGGGACATTCTTCCCCCTGACGTCCCCAAATGAGGTCAGCTCGATCCTTTATTTTTTCATAAGTAAAACTTGCTGCCTCAGGCCTGCTGGGTCTCAGGCAGTGGTGGTATGGTACCGGTTCGGACCGTTTGAACCGGTAGTAAAAAAAACTACCAGTTCACCTGAAGCCATAATAAAAATAACTACCCGTATGGCCGAACCGGTTCCTCTGGCGGTCAAGCTGAGAGGATAGAAGAAGCAACAAGTGCATGGGTGGGTTAGGAGGGTCGCTCCTAGCTTTTCGCTTCTTCATCCTCTCAACTGATTGGTGTTAGGGGCATGCATGCACATGTTAGGGGTACACGCGCAATCACCCACTGAACCGGTAGCAACCAAGGTAGGAACCCACTACTGGTCTCAGGGGACCAGTAAGACCTTGAGTGGGTTCCATTACTGATCAAATCTCGTGTGTGTTTTGTACTTCAACTTTTTTGACATGTTTACTGTTTTACATTTTTTTTGCTGTACACTGACTAGAGTTACTTCTTGTGAGATAGGCAGCCACATAAACTTGATAAATAAATGTGATAAATAAATACATAAAGTAACAGAGGTGTTTACGTTTAAATCTTTTAAGAGTGAGTTCTGCAAATTTTTACCATCACGAGAAACAGAATGTTTATTTCGTGATCAATTAAATTTCCAATAAGCTAAAATTTTAAACTGAAGCCTGAAGCCAGTAATCACTGAAATGCATTCCAAGTCAGCCAATTCCCTCTAAAACTCTAAAGCTGTCAACAATTGACCAAATTAGCACCATTACTCCAACTGTCATTTCACCCTCCCATACTAAAACAGATGCTGTGGTCCTCATGAAGATGGAAATAATTACTGTCACTTAGCTCACTTAATTCTCTTGCAAATGAGAAAGAGGTATTTTAAAATAACACTTCTGGTTTACATTCTACCTATTTTAATAAGAGAATGGATTAAAATATATTCATTCAGGTATAAAAAAAATCTTATTCCACTTCCCCCCAAAATAAAACTTAATAATTTTTATTATTAATTAATAATGTTTAATAATATTTTTTATTATCAAACATTTAATGTTTCATAAATAGAAAATACAGAAACATCATGTGGGCTTGTATGTCACATTCTTCAGTGAAGAATTTCTATGTTAATTGACAGAATTTGTGACAGCCAACTCTTTTAGAACTTTTTTTTCACATGTCCTACATTTAGAATGAGACAGATTTTTCCTAACAGTCAAATGGGCAGAAATTTAGGCCATCAGCTCAAAAATATTCTACATGTTCAAATCAATCTAGTTTTCCCAATATTGGACAAATGTTTATAAAGAGAAGTAACATGGATTGCAAAAACTGTTGCATACACCCTGGAATCTGCTTAAATAAGTTTTGGTTACATATAACACATGTAATACACTGTTTTCCACGATAGCAGAAATGTATTCTTCTGAATAAGCAAAATGCACGATGAGTTCCATTCTCATTCTAGAAGTAAAAATTAACTAAAATATGCATGGCATGGTACTGCAAATTACCAGATATCCCCCCTTGTCTCTGAGATATCCCAACCTTTGTCTCTAAAGACAAAAGTTAGGCCAGAAGACTGAACAACCAGTATTGGTTGTACACAAAAACATCAAAAAGATGGGGTTCTTTTCAACTATCTATAGAGAAGCCATCACTAGTGGGACAATCCAAATAATGGTTGGAAATCAGAAGAAATGAAAGAGGAAAGTTTATTAGAACCACTTGGGGAAATTTTATGCAAGACGAAGTTCTCATTCTCTATATACATTCATATTAAATTACTGGATTATTAAGATCGCTTCAGAAAACTATCTGCCCTGCAAATTTGCAAGTCAACAAAATAACTAGAGAAAGCTCATTAATACTGAGAGTAGGGAAAGATGGTGTCTGATATAGAAGAGAAATTCATGTTGTAGATCCTCCCACAACAACCTTAAATGGGAGGGAGAAGACGAAGAGCAAGCATTCTGTGTATTCCTTCCACGGCTACTTTTATTTACCCTTCCTTTGGTAAATAAGACTGTGTTTTTCATAGCAAAGCAGTTATGTAAATCATCTTAAATTCTGATGAGTTTGTTGCTCAGAAGTGAAGTCATGTAAAAATATGTAACAAGTAAAATAGGGCACATTTTTCAAGGTTCGTGATCCATTAAAAAAACATAGACCAGAAAAAGAAATATTTGTTGGCTCTGAATTGTTATTTTACTGCAGTAAGCTGCATTTTTTATGGAGATCATATGAAAGAAATAGCCTTTGGTTTAGCCCAGTGGTTGCCAACCAGTGGGCCAGGGATCACTGGTGATCCACAAGAAAATTTTGGTGGTCCTCAGAGAAATGTCACTCCCAAAGCAATTAATCCAGGCTATGCGGGAACACAAGGCTGCGCCATCCAAATGGCCCGTGGAAGGCTTGCATCACTTGCATTGCAAGCAACACAAGATAGTGAGGGGAGGGGGGGGCGGAGGGCAGAGGGGGGGAACTTACCCCATGCACCTCGCCTGGCCATCAGGCTGCTTCTTTCCGCTTCTTTCTTCTTCTGCTTTTGGCTGCATGCAAGGAAAGCAGCAAGTCTTTTTTTCTCGTCCCCAAACTCCGCCAGAAATGAGTCTTTAGGACCCTGCAAGGCATCCTGCTCCAAAAGGCTGCACCGGCACGACAAGTCTCAAAAAGACTCATTTCTGGCAGAGTTTGGGGGAGAAAAAGAAAGACTTCTGGCTGCTTTCCTTGCCTGAAGCCACGAGTCTCTCTCTTTCTCTCTTCCCTTGAGAACGCAACTGGAGACAATATCCTGCAATCCCAAATAAAGAATGATCGATTGGTAGGAAAACGGGATGGGGAATTTTCCTGCAGACTTTTTGGGGGATTTTCCCAGGGTCTCTGGTCCGCAGGATTCAAAATTATGAGTTTGGAGGTCCCTGAGGTCCAAAAGGTTGGCAACCCCTGGTTTAGCCCATCACCTTGAAATTACTGTTTACTAGCAATTACATAACTGCAGGAAACCACCTCTTTGACAAAGCAAATCCAAGGAAGTTCAGCTGATAGCCTTTCCTTAACACTGATTATTTATTACAAATCCAAGCAATAAAATTTCCAAAATTCAAAAGCCCTGTACATGCAAATCCACAGGTTTCATGCATTCTTTTTTTTACAAAAATAACTGTTACATTAAATTTAACTAGGATTGGGCAGAGAATCATCAAAAGAGCTACTAAGCTGGTCTGTCATTTTCCCAAACTGAGGAAATATTCTAAATTGTGCCATGCTATATATGCCTAGTCAGAAGTTAAGCTGCACTGAGTTTAATGAATGCAACTCCCAGGAAAATGCATAGAAAATTGCATCTTTAACTAGTAAATGTTACAACTGAGAACATTATTATTATTATTATTGGCATAATAATTTTATGCCAATTAATAAATGAATGTATTGCTAATGAAAAACAATCAAAGTAACTACCTACAACTGCATACTACAATCTATGAAAAAATGAATAAAAGCCAGCTTTTGAAACCAAGTATGTTAAATAGACACAGGCAAATTATCAAGACCTCAAGGGTTTTAACATACACTACATGGTACCTGTAAAGACAACAACCAAGGCCGAAACATTTTTATATAAAACAGTTTATAATTTTGTTCACAAATCCAACGTTGTCTTGAACATATTCAAAATCACCAATATCACCAGACATATTTAACTCTATTAGATACAGTTACAATTATTTGTTTTCTTGCTTTTTCCAAAGGAAATACTTCGTTCTTATCCTCAAAAGGAAATAAAATGCATCAATTGTTAAGATTATGCTTATACAATTGGACAATATACATTCACTGAATTGTTTTACTGCTAATTCAGCAACATCCAACACAAATGAGTACTTCAAAGCATAATTATCTTGAACTTGGGTTTAAATGCTGCAATATATCATACAGACATATGGTTTCAAAGAGCTACAACTGAAGTGAATGAAAAGCTTAAAAAAATATTCAGTGTGTTCCCTGAACAGTTCATCATCTCCTTGGATGTAAAACAGTTCTGTCTGGAGAGAAATCAAAACTTGAAGATCCTTTCATCATTTACCAACATTTTTTAAAAATCTAAATGCATGAAAAACTCAACTTCAGAGCACACTTGAAAACAGATAATTAGTAATCAAGCTCCTTATCTTAAGCTCTCTTTAAAGGAAGATATTTAAAATAATCTAAATGTGAATCTATTTTAGAAGTTTCGAAAAGAAGCAAACAAAACATGGATTTAAAAAGATGTCAGTTTATCAATTCCAAGTTCTGGAATGACAAAGAACAGTCAATTTTCATTTCAACTACTATTTTCTTTAATGTGTCCTCCAAAAAAGCACTTAATGTATTACTTAATGTTAAAAATTGTTTACAATACATCTATAAAAATAATTTATTGAAAGTGCCTCCTGCCTATTAAAATTCTGATTAATACCAATGTTCCCCTAGCAAATTTGATTGGGGTAGTGGTGGTGGTGAAAAAAACCCTCGGGAGGTGTCTGAAAAAGAGCTAGTAGAGAATATCAGTCCCCAATTTACCTCATGAAGGGTGAGATGTTTGCCGTCTTTTCTCTTCGAGTCAAACCTGCCATATATTGCACTGTACTTCCTAATCTCTTCTTCTTTGTGAGGGTCCTCATCATTCATTTCAAAGATATGACCAACCATCTTAGCCAGTTTTTTATTGATTTTCAGCATTTCTTTCACTTCATTCAAGTCACTTTTGGGGAGAGAGGAAACCATGCGTTCCACACACTCGGTGACTGACAGAGCTGCAGCTGCATCCAAAGTCTCTGTGTTATCCTTTGGGGAGGGTGGAGAACCAATGTCAGCAGGGGAAAGGCTGTGCTCACTCTCAGTTCCATGGTGTCCTTGCCAGAGTCTCTGGTCACTACTGTTTTGCGGCACTAAATTCCCCACTCCATCAGATTTGCCAGGACTCACACTCTGAACACATGTTGTGGCAGCACATTTTGGAATCTTCACATGAGGCTCCCGGGTACTATTATTCCGTTCATAAGTATTGCAGGATATTCCCAGCCAAGTTGGCGATCCTTCCGGTAGCTTATATATTGGAATGCTACTGACCGGTAAGGAAGTGAGAGGCTGGTTAAAAAGGCCTGGGTTTGTGACCCAGTCTCTCAAAGCTTTCTGAAGCCTTCGGACGTGAAGAGGTTTGCTAGCCATGCCAACCAAGGCCATGATCTCAAGAAACTCTTCTTCACCTGCCTCACACAATTGCTGAACGTCATCCCCTCCCTGTTGAATGAAGGCATCAAAGTAGAACAACAGATTGGCTTTCTGCAGGATGCGATAAAGTTGCAATTCACCAAGGGTTCTGGGCAAAGCTGTGGCCATTGTGGACCCAATGCCCTGCAAAAGAAATAGAAGAGAAACCAAATGACAGAATTTAAATCCTGGTAGATTAAATCTAAATACACGTACATATAAAAATAAGGCTTTAATCTGGTAACAAATTCAATTTAATTAAATAGGCTTTGAGGCAAGGAATAATAATGTTACGTTTTAATATGTATTCAATTGTATGATTTTAAACACAGAGGGGAACTGCTCAGATTATGAAAGAGCAAATAATATATTTTCATTTTAACTCTCATCCCTGCATTTTGTAAAGAGAAACAACCTAATACAGAGGACTTTTATTAATAGTACATAGTATTAAAGATATAACCTAGAGAACTTTATCATTACTGCAAATTTAGCTTTGTCCAGACATTCATTTAAAGTGGATCAAAATGTCTCATTACATGTTGTTCTACTGCTGAAAAGAAGAACTGAAAGTCATCCACATTCATAGCTCCTCCTTATCAAATATGAATTAAGGTGGAGGCTAAAATCTGGTCAAACCTAAGGCCATTTACATCAGACTTAATGCAACATCACCCCCTGTTCCTATTTCATGTCCCTATTTGATTCTGTTCTTTCTTTACCAAGACAAGCCCAACTGCAGAAGAGAAAATTTGGCTTTTTACAGATGTATTCTTAAAAGTGTGCAACAATATCTGTACATATCTCTTGGCTGAAGGTTTTATAAAGACTGGAAGGCTACTGAAGAAGTGAATACATTGGGTGGATATTCTGGCGTTTTGCTATTGCTGACAGTCAATAAACGTGCATGAAAAGGTAGATTATTTAGATTCAGAAGAAAAAAATAGTGCAAATGAGAGAAATTTAAGCATTTGTAATTTTTCTGCTGAAATCAATGGAACTTTGAAAATGATCAAATACACAAACCTATATGAGTTTATTCAAGTTCTAAGCAGACGAATGGTGTTTCTCAAACTGAAGCAAATGTAGGATTTTCTGATCAAAGATACAAGTAGTTCTTGATTTACAACAGTTCGTTTAGTGACAGTTCCAACAGCATAGAAAATGCCATTTTTCACACCTTCTACTGTTGCAGCATCCCCATGGTCACATGTTCAAAATTCAAGTGCTTGGCAACTGACTCATACTTATGACGGCTGCAGTGTCCCAGTGACCTTCTGACAAGCAAAGTCAATGGGGAAGCCAGTTCACTTAACCATTAGCAACTGTGTGACTAACTTAATAACTGCAGTGTTCTAATCTGCATTTCTTATTGGAGCTCAAAGTCATAGATTCCTCTGAATTACCCTCATACTCACAGTGCTGTGAAACAGATTGGCTGATGGAGTGACTGAGCCAACATTATCTAGTGAAGTACCATGCTCAAGAATTGTCCCAGTCCCGACTTCCGGTTTGTCGGCTTCGCAAGCGGCAGGGATTTGCGAAGCTGCGCGATCCCTGCCGCGCTAGCCGTTTTTGGGGCTCCGATCCAGACGGATACGGAGCTAGGCTGCCCTGCAGGGGCAGCTGAAGGTAGGGGGGATCCGGAGAGGGGTTTGGGGGTGTTGCAGACCCCCTCCCCGGCCGGCAGAACCCCCTTTTCCCAGGACGGTGCAGCGGCGGTCCGTAATGGCCGCCACAAAGAAGCTGGCAGCCGGGTAAGAATGCGCAGGAGGAAGTGGAGAAAGTGCTTGAAAGGAGAAAGTTTTTCTTGGCTCCTAGGACTCTAAGACATACTTAACAAAATTCCTGAAAAGTATGACTTTCTGAATGATACCTTCGAGAAGAGGAAAAAAGCGGCAGTTTAATGGTGCTGAAAGGATAGCTTACCCTCTTTTTCTACGGAATAAAAAGTGAATATTAAGAAACCTATTTTTTTTAGGTGAAAACTGGCTTTAAGCGATGAGTGGGAAAAGAGAGGACTTAAAAAAAATATTTGTATGCTAAGACTTTGTTGGAGGAGATGCCTTAAGGATTGAAAGACTAAAATATATTGCAATAAGATTTTAAGAAACAGATTTGGACTTTCTTTTTTTCTGATTGATACTACCCTAGGAGGAGAGAGTGGGAACTCTGTCTTGGTTTGGACTGACTGATAACTTTGGGATTGTCTTATTTTTCCTTTGGAATATTCTGATTGTTATAAGAGAAAAGAAAAGAAAAGATTTATAATGGCTCCTTCTATTGAGGAACTGAGAAAAGATTATGAGCAAGCAAAAAAAAATGGTAAAGCTGGTTTGAAAGAAGCCTGTCTTTTTTTGGAAATGGCGTTCATTAACTATCAACAAACATTGCAACAGATGAAGACAGCAGAAGAAGAACAAGGAGAGGAAGCCATCTTTAATAAATCTCAGAACTCGACCAAGAGGGAAGGAAGAGGGAAAGGAAGAGAAATAAAGGACTTGAGATTTAAAAAAACATTTAAGAAAGGGAAAAACAAGGTGCAAAATCAATATAATGATGGTAAACAAAAGGGAAGAGGAATACGACAGAGAAGGGAAGCCAGTAAGGCAGAGGCTAGAAGAAGGGGGGGTAGAAAGGTTTGTTGGGAGAAGAAAGAAAGGGAAAAGGTGGAGAAAAGCCACAAAGTTTTGAAATTAAATGGGAAAAAAGGAATTTTTTTTAGGGATAAAGGATAAGTATAATTTCTTCAAAGAGATTTTGCAAGGTACATAAGATGATATTGTAGTATTGTATTAGAAATAGAAAACTTAAATAGCTTAAGAGTTGATAAGAGATTAAAATGTTGAAATGTTAATAATGATTGGTTTTAAAATTTAATAATATGAGGGGAGATTTAGAATATTGAACTTTAATTAAAGAGTTTAATAAGATTATGGTATTGATGTTATTATAAAATTTTTATTATAGTATTTGTTTTTAATATTTAGATCTATTGTTTAACTATGTATTTAATTATTCTGGATGTATTATTCAGTTAGAATGTACCAAGCAAAATCGGATTGGGTATTGGGTGTTATTCTAAAGATTAATTTGATTAATTTAGTGGGGAGATAGAAAGGCATCATACTCTGATTAGTGATTTCAGGAGAAATTTCTTTTTTTTTTTTTAAGGAATGAGACAAAGGTACAATAAAGAATGGACAAAAGATACAAATATAATGACTCAAATTAAGATGATTAATTAAGATAGAATTTAAAAGAGTGAAATATGGGGAGAAGTTAATATAGAAGATTTAGAATGGTAAATAAAATAAGTAATGATATGTAAGATGAGTATGAATACAGTTGAAGTCCATGAAGAAAGAGATACCTGGGTCCAAGTTACTTTCCAAAAAGATTTTTTTTATGTTTTGTGTGTTGTGTATATACGTTTTTTTTGGGGGGTGGGGAGAATTAATATGAGAATAATGGTAACTAAGTCAGAAAGAAATAGATGAAATAATAATAATAAAATGGAATAAGAGTAAAGAGAAAATGGATAAGAGGTTTTTATATGTTTATATGGAAATGGTTTAAAACAGAATTATAGTTTATCTGACTTGTTAAATTTATAATGGAAAAAGGTTTAAATATGTAATGGATAATGATGACTTGTGTGTTTTGAAAAAATTAATAAGAATTGTCCCAGTCCCAAACCAGTTATCGCAATCATGCACCAGACTGCTCAACTCGAATTGATCTCAACCAGTAATTATGCTAATTAATACCGTGTTTCTCACAAAATAAGGCCGGGCCTTATTTTTTTTTGACCCCCGAAAAAACGGCTAGGCCGTCTTTTCGGGGGTGACTTAATTTCCTCCCTGACCTAGAGCAGCCCATACGCACTCCCCTCGCCGCAAGGCCACTTCTATCGGCCGACGAAAGCTCCCTTGAAGGCAGAGTCCTCAGCCGCTTCGGGGCGTGGCATGGCTACCCATGTCCCCTCGCCTTTAGGCAGTCTCTTTCAGGCGATGGAAGCTCCCCAAGTGCAGTCACCAGCCACTTCGATTGGCCGGTAGAAGTGGCCTCGGGGCGAGTGCACACACACACACACTCCCCTCGCCGCGAGGCCGTTTCTATCAGCCGATGAAAGCTCCCTTGAAGGCAGAGTCCCCAGCCACTTCGGGGCGTGGCATGGTTACCCATGTCCCCTCGCCTTTAGGCTGTCTCTTTTGGGCGATGGAAGCTCCCCAAATGCAGTCACCAGCCACTTCGATCAGCCGATAGAAGCAGCCTCGCGGCGAGGGGAGTGCGTGTGTGCACTCGCTCTGAGGCCACTTCTACCGGCCAATCAAAGTGGCTGGTGACTGCACTTGGGGAGCTTCCATCGCCCAAAAGAGACTGCCTAAAGGTGAGGGAACACAGGCAGCCATGCCACGCCCTGAAGCGGCTGGGGACTCTGCCTTCGGGGAGCTTCTATCGGCTATCAGGGTATTCTAGCCTAGGCTACCTGCAGGGCACTCCTAAAGGCAAGTTTTCTCCCCATCCCCCCGCCTTTCCCCCCCCATTTCTCTTCACCTCGTGTAGTTCTAACGAACAATGTGAGAAATGGCGGGGAAACACATGGTTTAAATAGGCCTAAATTTTGGGGGCGGGGCTTAATTTCACCTCTTGCCTAGAAATCATGCTGGGCCTTCCAATTGGTGGAGGCCGTATTGTTGGATAAACACGGTATTTTGAAAGATGGTGAACGTTTAAAAAAAATCAAACCACATTTGCTCATCTCATGAAATTTGGGCTATAGGTAATCTTTGGTTTGTGATGGCAACTGGGACTGGAATTGCCACTCTAAGCAATGCAGTTGTAATGTCACATGACCACACTGCTTAGCAATGGCAGTTCCAGCAGTCCCGGTTGCCAAAATTAATTGAGGACCACACATATAGTTAAACAAGGACTTCATGTGACTGGGACTTCCAACTTTCTGCAGGCTTCCCCATGGATGTTGCTTGTGAGAAACTAGCAGGGAGTGTCGAAAGTTATGATCATGTGACTACAGCTCAGAATCGCAGGTAATAATCACAGACACACTGTGAGGACTGGTCATAACTACAACTCATTCAGCGCTGAATAAGTAGACATTAAAGTAGAAACTAAGTTGT